CCCAAAAAAAAAAAAGACATGTCAATACAATGTGATATATAACAGCCAATGATAATTTAAGTACTCCATGGAAGATCCAAACTACTCAGCAGAGATGGCAGCATCAATTAATTTATAAATGTGAAGGGATATCCCCTATACTACATGTATACATCATTACTAGAAAGTTCATGCAAAAACAGATCATCTATACCAGAAGGCAGCAAAAACTGCAAAGAACATGTACAAACTATTGCTTATCTTGAATATTAGATAGAAAAAAAATGCAAAAGCCAGAAACAAAAATGGAAGAGTGAAAGAGAGCAGGAGAAGCAAAAGTATGTATAAGTGAGATAAAAGACCAAGAGATTTGTAGTTAGTGTTGCTACTTATCACCAAAATAATGCAGGACAAAAGCACTGAACTCTAAGCAACTATCTCGCTTAGAAACATACAAGAATTAGCCAATTAGACAGATGTCGTTCCCATTACAATTGTTATGCAGGTCCTCTACCAGATTCACCTCATTCCTGCCTTTGTTTCAACATATACATATACATATATATACACATATATATGTGCTTACAGAAGTAGAAAAGAAGCATAACCACTTCGAAAGGAAAATCTTAGGCCAGCGGATAAATATAATTCAGAAGAATATGTGAGTAATTCACACGGAGCATATCGTTACTTCATCAATGGTTCAACCAAATAATCACTGGTAGAACAAAAGAATCTGAACTATGCAAGTTCTCAAAAGCATCCATTAGTTGATTATGGCATTGTTCCTGGTCACAGTCTTGATAAAGTAATGGCAACTAAATTAGTAATTTTCCTCATCGCATGCTGAATAAATAAATGCATACAGAGTGAGTGAGCAAACTAAACAAGCACCTCTCCTGTGATATGAGAGACTCAAATTCATGGACAACATATTGATGCACAAATAATCCTTTTGCACCATGGTGCAATGTCCAACGTAATATGCCTAGCTCATTAAAAACCAAACTTTGACCTCATGTGAGAAGCACATGAGACCTTTCAATCTGAGCTCAATGCACGGCCTTGCCTTAATTTCTATGTTACGTGGACTCTCCAAAATGTTGCCGCACCCGTGTCGGATCCTCCAAAAATACACTACTTTTGAAGGATCTGACACGTACCCGAAAACATCTTTGGAGAGTCCGAGCAACATAGCTTAATTTTCCTAGCATTAAGAACACACTAACCTGGCAGGCATTAGATACCTACCTTTCTATTGTCTTCAATATAGGATCTAAGAAGGTAACGATAGTACTTGTCCTTATCTTCGCCAGATGCCAACGTATCAATCATATTTTGACCAATGGCAGCATCACATGATGGGTCAGGGCACCGCAGTGTTAAGCATCCAGGGCCGTCATTAATGGATGTGGTAATGTAAGCTGCCAGAACAAGGACAAAACCATTAGACAAGAAAATAAATGCCCCACTTCACCATATTGCTCACACTATGTTGCCAGCATGGCAGTATTCAAAAATCTGACATTTGACACCCTCACGTGCATCAAAATTTTATATTGCTCCCTAAATGATCCACACACACCATTTCAACATATTGCTCACACTAAGTTGCCACCCCGGTAGCATTTATAAAGCTGATATTTGACACCCTCACGTGCATCAATGAAGTGGAAGTAGAAACTAGATTGCTGCTTGGTAATACAAGGGCTTCACCACTTTTCCAAGATGACCAGACAATAGATCTTAAGATGTGCATACTTAATTGATACACAGGTCATGGTTACTACTAGCTTGACACAATCTGGAAAGTAAAACTAGTACCAAGCTTCTAGGGTTTGCACGTACAGATGGCTACACTTTTCAACAAAGAAGGATTTTTAACCCGGGAAAAGAAATGAAAACAAATAACCGGATAATAAACCTCAAAGCGCATGAAAATTTAGCCACTTCCTTCAATTTCAGAGCAAAAGCAAAAGTATAGGTGGGCCAAAAGCTTCCACAAGAAACAAACCTTTCCAGCAAGTAGTACAAAAAGGATGACCACACTTAAGAGATCTTATGCCATCAGGAGGAAAATTGTCAAAGCAAATCCCACACGCCACCTGCCAAGAGGATATCTTGGTGAAATAAGCAATATATATAGATTTGGGTCACCAGGAAGAGAAAGAAGTATCAAGCAATCATTGATCATTTGGCTAAAAATTGCATCTGTCTCTGCAAACATAGTAGAGAACTTACTTCCTTAACTTTTGAGAGATGGATAACAGGCCTCTCCAACAAACCGACAGACTTGCGAACTCTTTCTTCATCAGCAAACCACTCCTCATGCACCTTGTTCACACTCCTAAAATCATCATAGTTTTAGTCTTTTTAAAAACAAGTCAAGCAGGAGGAAAACCAAAAACCAAGTCCATCATAACTCATATACAAGTGGAAAGCACAAGAGCATAGGATGATGCACCATTAACATTTCCAAAGATATTCATCAAGTCAAAGCTACAGAAACATGTCAATACAAGCAATAGCATCCAAATTCCAAAGGCACACAGAATAACTATTAAGTTGCTACGTAAAGGGAAAAAAGATCAGGTTACCAGTTATAACGTCGAAGTAGTATACAGGCAGCTTCTCTTTGTAAGGACAGAAGAGCAGAAATTGTCGTTATATCATCTTCCTGCCGTTGACGTATATCTTCTTCCTTCAAGACAGTATAATTTTTCTGCAAATTGCAACAGCAGCATGTGAATACAAAACCGAAGAGGTATTAATGACTAAGAAGAAGGAGAAACCAAACAAAAATAGCACAGGTAAAATGCGAATTCTCACATATCGGAGCCTAAATTAAGAGAAGCTACTTCTAACACATCGAAGCTGTCATAAATCAACTCTAGCCCAGGAGAAGCCCCTTTGTAGCACATCAAAGTGATTACTAGCTAAGAATATACAGTTGTCCCACACTTGCACCAGAATCAAAAACAAAAACAAGCAAGTACATATAGCTGACACAGCAATTCACTGTTCATTGGGATTCCAATAGACTGTTCATTTAAGCTACAAACCATATACTAATTCCTTTAAAAAGTTGGAACATTGTCCAAAATAAAATTACATAAACCATAACATCAGAACTCATCAAAGTCCATAACCCCATCAATCAGGATTGTCTACTTGTTCATCACGCAATGCCTTTCCATAGTTTAGAGAATAAAAAAGAGTAACTTTTGAAGTCACACGGCGCAATTATTCTATCCCCAAGTTCGAGGATACAATAAAGGTGCAGGCTTTATAGTGAAATTCACTTGGAAATACACAGACACAAAAAGTAACATTGGGACCCATCATAATCCGCAATCCATCAAGCAAGATCATCTACTCGTTCATCATGTGGTGCATTTCCACAGTTTAAGACAAGGAAGAAGAGTAAATTTTGGAGTCACGCACGCTATTATCCTATCCCCATATACGAGGTGTACAGTAAAGGGGCAAGCTTCATACTGAAATACACAACCAAATCAAATCAAAGACCCCAATTCCAATAACCCCTCATCTTAATCTTACTGCTCTACATAACAATTTCAGAAAGTTACAAGAAGTAGTGATAAGCATTGGAATATAACGGGCCCAAACCTGGGAACGATTGACAGCTTGGTCATTGGAATCATCGGATTCATTACCCATAAAATCATAATCAGCATCATCACCGTCACTATCCAGCGCAGCACCGCCATAGCCATCACCGTCACTGTAGAAATCCTCATCCACCGACTCCATATCATTAGCATCGTGCATATCATCCTCAGACTCCATCGCAGTTCAGACCTATAGATGATCAAACCAAAAGGAACACCCAATTGCAGATGAAATTGATGCTAAAAAAACCCTAAAAGCGAGAGGTAAGTAGGGCACCTTTTGGAGAGGGTGAAATTGGGGGAAAAGGTAGGTTGATTATGGTGTGGGGAAAAGGGGAGATTAGGAAATTGATTTTTTGTAGAATTGTTATAATAATGTTTGAAAGGGAACAGTTGTCGTGTCCAACTCCAAAGTCCACAAAGGGAAGTGAGAATCTGTGGTTTGATTAGAAGGGGGTTTAAATAAGAGAGAAGGAAAGGGCTTTAGAAGTTTGGTGGGGATAGATGAAAATTGTTGTTTTTTCCCCTTTCAACATACTTTCCGAAATAGGCTAGTAATAGAAGTCTTAAGAATTACTATAATTAGTTAAATGCCGCCCTAATTATATATTTGCGTATTTAATTTTTTTACGCATTAAAATGAATTGACTTATTTAGAGTTCACGAAACTAGGGTTATAATTTGTATTTTCATCTTCGGTTAGTTTAGAGAGAAAAAAAATTAGAGGATGCTTAGTGATCAGAGCGTGGGATGCTTCTAACAGAGATTAGGGGGAAACAAAAATTCTATTTTTTCGGATTAATAATTAAAAAATAGCCTTAAATTCAAAAGTCATGAAAATAGCCAATTGTTTTAAATCATAATAGTGTCTTTTGGATTTTTCACTTATTAAAATTCGAAATTCATAATATTATCACAGTATTTTCGGATTAAAAGTGACTACTTTCAACATATTATAAAATAAGACTGTAAAGTAAAGACAAGTATAGAGAGAAACTAATATATTATTCAACTTCAAACTAATTTACATAATAAACTGAAAACTGCTCTATTTATAGAAAAAAGGAAGCAGCTACGAGGCTTTTCATGAAGCAGGTGCGAGGCTTTTCTTGAGTTGCTTGTAAGATGTTTGCATAAGCTGCTTGTAACTTGCATGTTTAATAAGAAGTTGTTGCAAATCATTTCATTGAGTTGCTTGCAACTTGCCTGCATCAACTGCTTGTAGATAAACTTCAATAGAGTACAAACGGATAAGCTTCTTCAGGAAAATTATCTATAGCTGAGTAATAAATGGACATCCACATTATAATTATTTTTATAACACTCCTCCTTGGATGTTCATTAAAATATATTGTGCCTCGTTAAAACCTTACTAGGGAAAACTCAGTGGAAAAAATCATAGTGAAGGAAAAAGAGTACACATATTTAATAATGCGCAATTCTAACTGCCTCATTAAAAACCTTGCAAGAAAAACCCCATGCGAAAAATCTTAGAAAGGAAAAAAGAGTACAACGCGTATTTCACTCCCCCTAATAAAAATTTTGTTCCAAATATTTGAGTCTCCGCATTCCAATCTTGTATACCATCTTCTCAAAAGTTGAAGTTGGCAAAGATTTAGTGAACAAATTTGTTGGATTGTCACTTGAACGAATTTGTTGCACATCGAAGTCACCATTTTTATGAAGATCATGTGTGTAGAATAATTTTGGTGAAAGTATAAAATTATGGATCTTTTATCACATTCCAAATCATATTTTTCTTTAATAAAATGAATCACTGATCTCAACCATACGCATTCCCTACTTGCTTCATGAATAGCTATTATCTCGGCATGATTTGAAGAAGTAGCAACAAAAGATTGCTTTGTGGAGTGTCATGATATGACAGTACCTCCACATGTAAACGTACCCGGTTTGAGACCGAGCTTTATAGGGATCAGATAAATAACATGCATCTGCATAACCAACAAAATTTTCACTACCTTTGTTAGCAAAAACATAAAACCATATCAAGAGTTCCCATTAAATATCGCAAAATATGCTTAATCTCATTCCAATGTCTCTGTGTAGGATAAGAGGTATATCTTACTAGTAAATTAACAGACAGTGTTATGTCGGGTCTTGTAGCATTAACAAGATACATAAGTGCACCAATTGCACTGAGATAGGGTGTTTCAGGACCAAGGAGTTCCTCATCCTCTTTTGGGGGTCGGAACGAGTCCTTATTCACTTCAAGTGATCGAACAACCATTGGTGTACTCAATGGGTGCGCTTTGTTCATGTAAAAGCGTTTTAAGACCCTTTTTGTTTAGGCAGATTGATGTATAAAGATCTCGTCTGCTAAATGTTCAATTTGCAGACCAAGACAAAGTTTTGTCTTTCCAAGATCTTTCACCTCAAACTCTTTCTTAAGATATTTAATTACCTTTTGGAGCTCTTCTGGAGTTCCAACAAGATTTATGTCATCAACATAAACAGCAAGTATAACAAATTCTGATGCCATTTTATTTATAAAAATACATGGACAAATAACATCTTTTATGTAACCCTCTTTCAACAAATATTCACTAAGGCAAATACCACATGCGCCCAGATTGCTTTAAACCATACAAAGATATTTGTAATCTCATTGAATACATTTCTCGAGATTTTGAATTTGTTTCAGACATTTTAAATACTTTAGGGATTTTCATGTAACCACGCCCATCAGATGTATCTCAAGCCTTTTACATAAGGCTAAACTAATGAGATATCAAAATGTTATGGCATTCATAATGGGTGAATATATTTCTTCATAATCGACTACATGTCGTTGTGAGAATCCTTGTGCGACAAGGCGAGCATTGTATCTTTCAACTTTATTTTTGTCATTTTTTTCGCACAAAAACTCATTTATGACCAACTGTTTTTATACCAGCATGTGTTTGGACTACTGGTCCAAATACCTCCCTTTCAGCAATTCTGATTGAATTACCTCTTGCATTTTGGCCAATCGGATATTTGTCAACATTATTCGACAGTTCGAGGTTCAAAATCCTCACTATCTTGCATAATGTTAAGTGCAACATTATATGCAAAAATATTATCCACCACTATTTCAGATCGATTTAAATTAATCCCATCAATAGTAGAACTTATTAAAAGTCTCTCGCTCACTTGAGTCTCGGGTTCATTTATTTCTTTAGGAATCTTATAACTAATCATAACTTGGGTCTCTTCAGGAGATCCCTTTATAGTATCATTTTGATAATTTGTCGATTTTAATTTTTAATGATTTCGATCCTTAGAACCCAAAGGCCTACCACGCTTCAAGCGTGCTTTATGTTCATTAGCTCTCATGCTAGTAGATGGTCCTTCTAGAACATCAATTCGGACAGACACATTTTATGCAGGGATATGTAGCTTAGTTATCATTTTCAAATCAGTAAATGCATCAGGCATTTGATTTGCTATATTTTGTAAATGGATGATCTTCTGGATCTCCTGATTACATATAGGGGTACATAGAATACTTATTATAATGTGTCAGCCTGAGACGGATAAGTGATGCTTCATGCAAGATAGCATGGCCCCAAACAGTAGTGGAAAATTTTGTTTTCATAAGTAGTGGTCTTGCTGTCAATTGCATGCGTTTAATAAATGACTCTGCAAGCCCATTTTGAGTATGAATATAAGTTACTGGATGTTCAACTTTTATCCCAAATGATAGAAAATAATCATCAAAAGTTTGAGATGAGAACTCTCCAGCATTATCAAGGCGAATAGCCTCTATAGGATAATCTGGGAATTGTGCCCTTAATCGAATTATTTGGGCTAATAGCTTTGCAAACGCCAGGTTGTGAGATGATAGTAGGCACACATGAGACCATCTTGAAGACTTATCTATTAGGACCATAAAATATCTAAACAATCCACTTTGTGGGTGAATAGGTCCACATATATCCCCATGTATACGTTCTAAAAAAACAGGGGATTCGATGCCAACCTTCATTGGTGATGGTCTAGTGATCATTTTGCCTTGATAACAAGCATCACAAGAAAAATCATTATTTGTAAGAATCTTCAGGTTCTTTAGTGGATACTCACTCGAATTCTCAGTAATTCGTCTCATCATTATTGATCCAGGATGGCCCAACGGCCATGCCAAAGCACAAAAGTATTTGAATCAATAAACTTCTGGTTTACGATAGAGTGTGCTTCAACTGTACTAATCTTTGAATAGTATAAGCCACAAGATAAAGTTGGTAAATTTTCTGCAGTGCACTTTTGCCCAGAAACATTCTTTGTAATACAGAGATATTCCATATTCATTTCATCTATCATCTCAACATGATACCCATTTCGGTAGATATCTATAAAACTCAACAAGTTTCTTCGGGGCTTGGAGGAGAACAATGCATTGTCTATAATTTTGTTCCCTTAGACAGAAATGTAGTGGCTCTTCTGGAGTCTTCAATCAAACTTATATTACCAGAAATTGTTGAAACATTTACTTTTTTCTTATGCAAATAAGAAAAGTATTTATGATCTTTGAATATGGCATGAGTTGTTCCACTATCAATTACACAAATATCTTCATGGTTGGTATTTGATCCAAATATAATTTGGGAATTATCCATATTCTTCAAAATGACACAAACAAAATATATTATAGTAAACATCATTATCAAAGCATAACTTTTTATTTATGTACAACAATTACATAACCATACTATCTACTACAAACAACCAAAATTAAAATATTTATATTTTTACATATTCATCACTGATCACATGACTTGTTTCTCCTTCCGAGAATGTAAAGTAATTAGCTACATCCAAATGCATGAAGTCTAAATTATTTTCAGAAATAAAATTTGCTTAAACATTTTTCGCCGTCTTCTTCAGGGAGGCTAGATAAAGCTCAACCAGGTGCTTTGGCGTACGACAAGTACGTGACCAATGCCTTTTCCTTCACATCTATAACATGCATTTTCTGCATTTGTTGCTTGCACCGCTTCATGCTTTGTTCCTTCCTTTTCCACTACTGGTGGTGAGGAGGGTTCTTTGGTGCATTATTATTACCATGATTATAGTTTCTTCCCCGACCACGGCCATGGCCACTATTGGGGCCACGACCTCTTCCACACTTAGTTTGGTTGAAGTTCGTCTCATTCGTTTAAGGGAATGGACAAGAACCAATAGGTCGGCTTTCATGATTTTTCATTGATAACCCATTATGTTGCTCGGCTACAAAATGTGAGATAAGTTCAGAATAATTTTTGAATACCATCTCTCGATATTGCTGCTGCAGGAGCATATTCGAGGCATAAAAAGTGGTGAAAGTTTTCTCCAACATATCATGATCAGTAATATTATCACCATATAATTTCAATTGAGAAATAATTCTAAACATAGCAGAATTATACTCACTGATAGATTTAAAATCTTGTAGCCTTAAAAGAGTCCAATCATATCGTGTCTGTGGAAGAACG